AAACTGGCCTTACGAGGAACTCTACCTGAGTGAGCTTTTGGCATCATTGGGTGCTAATGTTTTGTTGACAGGGGTCCAGCTAGAGGTCAATGCATGTTGGGTATTTGCATAAAATCTGAGAAGGAGCAAACGCAACAGGAACATGGAATGCACCAAAGTACTGAAGGAACACAGGTAACCTCACGGGCATTAGTCCTCCTGATATATGCCCAGATGTTGCTAGGAGAGTCAAGCACACAAGGCAATGCATCAGAGGGGTCACCGTGTTAGGCAATGCACAGATCCAAGACATCTACTATATGATGCAACACCAATGCTGAGTCGACCGACATCATGACAAAGTTTTCTTGCCACCATTAAACCCCTAACATTGTCACTCACACACACAAGGGTTCATTTATGGCAACCAAGTGGAGGACAACCCTGTAGCATGTGCGCTCCAGCTCCCACCAGTTGAGCCCCTACCACTCAGTGCAGATCAGCCCAGGGCTACACGGTGTCACCTTAATTGACTCTGCATTGGAGTTGGCTGGTCTAGAGATGCAATGATCAAGTGGAGCTACATCAATAGCCCCCAAGACCTGTGACTGCGGCAGAGAGCCTCAAAATCGGAAGCAGCTCCTGGAATGCCAGCTGCTTGAGCGCAAATGTCTTCCAGTGACTTGGGGGACTGCAATGATCAGGCAATTGCATGTGCATGGATGTAGCCGGAAGCAGTATGAGAACACGACAAGAAGATGGGTAACCATTTCTTTTTGCTGTGCCTGTTCACCACTGTATTTGAGCATTTTAGCTATTTAAAGGCAGATCTGGGTTTGGGGTGGAGGTGTCATTACCCGCACAGACTTTGAGAGGTGCTATTTCAAACAACAATGCATTCAGATGACAATACCCATGGCCATCTGTACTGGACAGTTTGTTAAACTACGCCGCAGGTCCCTCAAGTTATATATCTGGGACTCCCCAAAGCCACCCCTACTCACTGCCCTCTACCATGACCTGTCCAATAGTACAGTATCCAGCGTGTTATTTATTTTAATATCAAAATGAATCCATTTTATATTGTTCCCAAATTTTCAACATGCCATAGCTTCATTAATAGGAAAGGGCATAGCTGCTTTGTAGAGATTGTCAAGGAGAAGCAGAAGGGTTTGCCAGTGGGGTAGGGCAGAGTTGGGCCTTTTTGATAGTCAAGAAGGCCTGGCGGGCATTTTTGGTTCATGGTACCCAGGAGGCAGCTGAAGCTTTTGATACTGGAGGCGGAAGATGCACCTCCTTTCTCTCTCCCTCTTTTGAGAAAAGATGACTAAGTTAGAGAGAGGGAAGGAGACTTACGTTTCTTGTTCCCCCACCCCAGCCACTCTGAAAGCAACACACACAGCTGCTACCTATCAGTACGGACACATCAGACTCGCATCTCCAACTGGTGTTGCAGAACAAGACATCGAAGCCATTGCTTTTTATTGGAGAGATCATTTTGTTTACAGCCTCCATCAGTGCCTTTTGACAGGTAAGGGCTATAACTTTCATGCAGAAGCTGCTTCGTTTCCCACCTGGTGGCTATGTAGAAGAGCCAGAAATGTGCCCTGATAATTAAATGGATCCCATCTGAGATTTAAAAAGAGGTTTGCATCTGAATGAAAGAAAGGAAAAATCCTATGGAGCAGTATAGGATTTTTTTAATAAAGAGAGTGATAAAAGGTGTAAGGTTCCATTAAAGGACAGAGTTTTAGTGACTCAGAACTGTTTTGCTGATTGAATTGCAGGCTGTGTTTTTAAATGGAAGTTATGAGTTATGAACAACACTCAAGATACCTGACATTTATGAGAGCTGCAGGAAATAAAGAGTAAATCTGAGAACCAACCAGATAGGATGCACTTGGGCAACAGCTGTCTATAGCTTCCTTTAGGAAACCATTGTGTAAGAACTCTGGAGAGGGTCTTTCAGGAAAGTATCTTAAGTGCTTTATAAACATTAAATCTCATACCATCAATCGGATGCAAATATTAGATGAATTTATAGATGGATAAAAGAAATCAATGGAAGTTAGGAGCCTAAATACCTTTGTGGATCTGGGCCAAAAAGATTAAGTGCCTGGCCCAAGGTCACAACTAGCCAGTGGGAGAGACAGGAACATATAATCCAGGAGTTTTGACTCCCGGTCTCCTTCTCTAACTAACTACTACACACAAAACACCCCATCCCAACTAATTCTGAATCTGGATAGTCATTGAACATTTTCTAACACTAATCCTTCTCTTTGGGAGTCAGAATGTAAACAGGGTCACTCCTATGTTAATATCCACATTTTTAAAGGATGTTGTTTTATACATTATGAGGGACTGCCAACTACCCTGTAGGTCATCACAGGACTGATTCACAACCCATGCTACTGAACATCACTACTGGAGTCTGGTTTCAAAAGATAAAAGATAAACAAAGCAGAACCAAGGATCTCTCCCCTCCGTCCCCCGCAAATTTGTTCCCACTTCTCCACCTTTGCTGGCAACCAACACAGCAGGCCTGTGCAGACTAAAAAGAGAGGTGGGGGGGGGGGTGGAGGAAGAAGTGATATGTGAATTGCAAATAATGAAGCAATTCTTTCCATAAGATCAGATAGCTGAGGCAGTCACTGTGGGTGGTTGCTAGTGCACATTTGTTAGGTCACTGCCAGTTGGCAATTGTCACTGCTGTGCCAGCGTTTGCCAAAAATAGCATTTACTGTACCATTTGTGGAAGATGGCCTACCACGAAGTGCACTGCTGCAAAACCACAGGCTTTGTTTTCTCACCAACCCTGCTGAGACACTCAACAGCATGAAGGTGGCAGTCTGATACCAGAGAGTAGATTTTTACCTCAGAGAGGGCAAATCCAAGTTCTCCAAGGCACTCACAGCTGCAAGAGTTTTCTAGTTCCTTTATGTGAGGCCTGATAGTGGCTCTTCAGGGGGTCTCAGATCCTGCATCTTATCCAAGTGCTCCCCTGCTAATTTGGCCTTGGCCTCCAACACAACATTAATTTGGTTCAAAGGAAATGTGAATGATATTGTCTTCACTTATCTGTAACCTGTTGAATGAATCATAGAATATCAGGGCTGGAAGGGACCTCAGGAGGTCATCTAGTCCAACCCCCTGCTCAGAGCAGGACCAATCCCCAATCATATTTTTGCCCCAGACCCCTAAATGGCCCCCTCAAGGATTGAACTCACAATGCTGGGTTTAGCAGGCCAATGCTCAAACCACTGAGCTAGCCCCCCCGTACTACATCTCACAATATATATCCCTGTACTTAATTAATCCTAGATCAAAAGTGTGTTAGTATTAAATGAGAATTTACCTGATGTGTAAACTGCATGAAAACTAATGAAGGATTGTTTCTGGCTATCACACTGTGTTTACGTTACGTTTACCCATCACATGAGATTGAAGCCTTTGAAATGTTAAAAATTGCTAACTTCAAAGCATGGGTCATTGTGTTCGACAATGGAAATTCAGACACAATCTGCAGGTGATATTCATCAAAACCCAAGTAGGTGAAGAAGCTGTTCAGATTGTCTTCTGTGAGCAGGATCTACGCTGGTTTAAAGGGAACGATCCTGTATCTCCGAACACTCACAGGGTTGCGTTCCAGATGCAAGACTGATATCCCCAGAGTTATTTTGGTAACCCTGACAGACTTATGGAAGCCTAGCAGATCACTGCATCTCTGCTATCATTTTGGACTTACAAACTTTGCCTCACCTGTTAATGTATTTTACCTGCTTTAACCTCTCAATAACTCATTTCTTTTCCTTAGCTAATAAATCTTCAGTTAGTTTACTAGAAAAATTGGCCACCAGTGTTGTCTTCGGTGTGAGATCAAGAGTATCCACTGATCTGGGGTAAGTGACTGACCCTTCGGGGTTGGGAGTAACCTCATGTGATAGTATAGTATCAGAGGGGTAGCCGTGTTAGGTTGGATCTGTAAAAAGCAACAGAGGCCTGTGGCACCTTTAAGACTAACAGAAATATTGGAGCATAAGCTTTCGTGAGTGAATGAAGTGGGTAGTCACTCACGAAAGCTTATGCTCCAATACTTCTGTTAGTCTTAAAGGTGCCACAGGACTCTCTGTTGCTAATGTGATGGTATAGCGATCAATAACACAAAGTCCAGTTTGTCTGGTGGCACGGTAGGCTGGAGATCCTGTTTGTGACTCTGCGGCAAGACTAATATAGTGATCCAGGAGCACACATTTATTACTGGCTTGGTGAAATCGAATTATAGAATATACCACCAGTTTGGAGTGTCTGCCCCATTTTCTGACAGTCTGACCCTCATAGTTGTGAGCCACTTCAGACAGCGTGACAGAGTATACAATTGAGTCCTTCACTGCTGTTGGTATTTTGGAGACGTGTGCCTAGCACACGACTGTTCTTTCCCTGCTGGCAAGTATGTTAACCAGTAGCATAAATAAATGTCTCCTAGATGGAGGATGACTATTTCATATACATCCAAGCAGACGTCCACTGGGGTACTCTAATATTCCATTGATTTTCATGGGGGAAGTGCAGCACAGTAGGTAAGCCAGAGCACAGAAAGTTCAGCAAAACTAGTACTGATTAGCAAAGGCTTGAAGAGAGAAGGTAATGAAGCCGTTTTAGGAGTAGAAAAGAAGATCAGAGGAGAGTTTTTTCTATAGCCTCAAGAGAGGTTTTTGGATTAGACACCTTTAATCTCATTTCCTATTTTTAGCATGTTCTTTATAAGCACTACATCCCCACCCTTCTAAACCATGGGACAACTGGTAGGGTCTTCAAAGCTCTGAAAGCCAATCTAGTTGAAGTTTTAAGTAATATGGCAAAAATTAATAATACTTTGCAATACACACACACACACACACACACACACACACACACACACACACACAGCATTTTGGGGCTTCGAAGACATCGTAGCATAACATGGTACCTTCCCTTCGGGCCCAGTGCGATAACTTAACTGAACAGTAAAGAATCATAACCTGCTGTTGTCCAGAGGAAGGCTGCTTAGGGTGGGGCATGCTCCAAAGCAATTGTAGACAGCAGTGTGCAATTGACAGCATGTGCTCGGGAAACAGAATTGCTGCGGTCAGCTCACGTGCAGAGACTTGTGCTTAATTAGCATTCTGACAGCAGAATGGCCTGCGTGAAGTTTTCATGGTGAACAGACACTGCACACACGCTGCATAAGAGACAAGGAAGTAATCTAAACATTCAATTCTATTCCCCAAAGGGATCAACCTATTCTAGACCTCCACTTTTCTCGGCCCACTTGAAAGCCAAGAGAGTATTTTCACTAAGACCTTACTAGGCACAATGCTAATTGACTAAATCACTCCCTCCAGATATGACTTTTTGGAAGCTGTGATGGTAAAGTTAAAGAACCTGTGCAATGCCACTGAGTCAGCTACTCCAGAATAAACCTCCAGCATCAGGATTTTATAAACACGACTAAAAATTCATTCTGGGTTGGAATTTGTTGTATTATGTCCCAGCACCTTCTTAAAATAAAAGCACAATGCCACAAACTTCTTACAGAGGTTTCAGTTTCTTGTGTTCCAGAAAACAGAAGGGAGGGAGAGCTGTGGGTAGGTCAGTGGGAGGGAGAGCTCAGTGGTTTGAGCATTGGCCCGCTAAACCCAGGGTTGTGAGTTCAGTCCTTGACGGGGCCACTTAGGGATCTGGGGCAAAATCAGTAAGTGGTCCTGCTAGTGAAGGCAGGGGGGCTGGACTCAATGACCTTTCAAGGTCCCTTCCAGTTCTAGGAGATAAATAAATAAATTAATGGAGATATCCTATTTTAAAAGCAAAAATTAAATCAAACAAGGTTTTTTTTTTTCTTTTTAATCATCAGTTACGGATACAATTTTTGCCATTGTTTATGTCAAAAATTCCTGGGTGTATTAGCAATGAAAGTTTGCTGGACAATGTACTCACTAAAGGAAAAATCTTTAACATATAAAGTTATATACACATACTCCTGCACACTCACAGAGCAATTCCTTGCTTCTCTCTTTCTGGTATTATAAAGTGCTCTTGTGAGCTGTATATGGTATAGACGTTATCATAAAACAGAGATCAGAAATCCTTGGAATTCTCCAAACAGCAAAAGAAAAATATCCAGAATAGAAAGGCTGTGAGGACAATTAAAGCAACAACCTGTGTTAAGATAGAGGGAATCCCTGCTCAAAGTCCTCAGACTGGAGTGAGTAAAAAGGTGTGTGTCAACTCTCTGGGCAGCATAAAGGTTTTTACTGGGGAGTGTGAATATCCACAGTATCAATTACTTTAATTCATCCCTAGCTCAATTTTAGAAGCATTTTTACCAATCTATCCAGTCAACGACCTTGTAGTTTAGCCCATAATTAATACTTTAAAAGTATAAAGAAGTTCAAGCTAAATACTTCCACTGCCTTGACCTTATTGGCTTAGGTTCTTGTTGGACTCCAACTCCTCACTCTGCTGTTCCTCTAGAATTGTGCACTCCTCTTTTTCTTTCCCAGACAGGTACCAAAAAATGTCTATTTCTGATCTCTGCTCCAGGACCAATATCTGCAAGTGTCTGCTGGTCCTAAAGAGATTTATTTTGGTCTAGTCTCAAAAAATAAATGTTTCTAAGCCATCCCATACTGGGAGATTATTGGACTGTAAGACCAGTGATTTGATTAACTTCTTACTTTCCTCCACGCCACAGTCTCGCATTGCAGCCATGACATGAGTTTAGTGATTGGCTGCTACCCCATGATCAGCTGGAGACAGAAACCACTACTTCATATCACATGACACTTTGAAACACCAGCTTTCAATAGATGTACAGTATTCACTGCTAGCCTTATGAGTCGCAAAATAATGAACTTTCAGCCTATCTTGGGTTCTCTCAGCTTGGCAGTGCTTTCTCGGACCCGATCCAGGAGCGACTGCAAGTCCCAGCTCGTGCACCCTGTGCAATTTTCAATCTTTGCCAAAGAACTCAGTCCTAAACGCATTTTATTTTTTTCAATTTGCTAACACACTCAAGGTCATTACAACTGCTGCATGTTGTACCTTCTCCACTGTAAAAGTAACCTGTAGCATGAAACACCGCAAGAAGGCTCACATATATCCCTGTGAACATGGCTATATACACACACACACACACACACACACACACCAGTCCCTTACATTGTGCTAGGATCATTCTGACCATTTACATTCCTGGGTTGCTTTCTCCTGCCATCACATCCCCCAGCTCTACACCATTGTGCAATGTATTCTAGCAGTTAACTGAATCGAAGATGAGATCAGGCTTTAAGAAGTTTCACTTGGCTCCCAGAACACTGAACAGAACAGGAGCAGAGCAGCACAGTGGGAGACAGCGACAAAAGAGTGCGTCCTGGAAAGGACCTTCCCAATGGGGAAGTGGGTTTTTTTTTTATTTTTTTAAAGCACTGTCTCCTTCCATCCATCAATGCAGCTGAAAAGGGACGTGAATGTGGCAAAACCACATAGCTGCTATTTGACTGGTACTAATTTGGACAATCATGGGCTTATTCTCTCGCTCTGATAGACAGAATAGAAAGGGCCAGCCCAGCAGGCTATGGCAAAGCAGTGTTCTGCTATTCAGGGATCAGAGTCCAGCGCCTTCATTCCCAGGTGATGCCAGGGCAGCATGCTTAATCAACCCTTTGGCAGAAAGGAATGCGGCGTCTCACTCTCTACAGCTCTTGGGGGAACCAATGGGATCTGGAGGAAGAAGCATCAGAAGCATCGTGAAGTGCTTTAGGACTTTTATAGAAGGTGCTCAGTGGTTCCCAACCTATTCTATAACAGGACACCCTTCCCATATAGCCATGTGGGACGGGCAGGCTGGTTGAGAAAGCCTGCACAGTAAGCTTGTGTTTTGTTTTCACTATAAATTATTTTCCTGTACCTCTCATCCAAGTGGTTTTAACATTAACAGGCCTCGGGACAGCCTGCTGGCGGCAAGCCGAAAGGAAACAAAGGCTTCCGCTGTCTATCTATATGGAAATAATTTAGTAGAAAGGCTTTGCAAAGCTGAACAGAAGAGGAAGTTATCTGAACCCCTATCGTCATCAGATTGCAGCATACTTTTTAATTGGATCACCTCGTATCCAGCCACACGAAATTCAAATTAGGAAATAAAAAGAGGCTATTTGCCCCATGTTACCATACGGTCTGGTTCACAAAGGATACATAGACACAAATAGCTACAAATGGAGGGTGGCATGCATTCCTAATAGTACTCCCAGCTGGGGTCTGCAGTAATTAGATACAAAAATCGGGGGAGTGGTAAACAATGAAGAGGACATATCACTGATACAGGACAATCTGGATTGCTTTGTAAACTGAGTGCAAGCAAGCAATATGCATTGTAATATGGCTAAATGTATACATCTAGGAACAAAGAATGTAGACCATACATACAGGATGGGGGACTCTATTCTGCGAAGCAGTGACTTTGAAAAGGACTTGGGGGTCATGCTAATGGAGCAGACTGCCTAGGAGGTGGTGGAAGCTCCCTCACTGACTGTTTTCAAAAGGAGTCTGGATTGCCATCTGTCTTGGGTGGTTAGACACAACAAATCCTGCATCTTGGTGTGTGTGTGTGTTTGGCATCACCCACATCCAGCCCGCAAAGTGCTTTGGGGCAGAAGCTGTCAGAGACATTTAAAATGCCAACAGCCTGTACTATCACAAATGTGGGAGATAATTCTCCCTGAAGCCAGAGGGTGGGATGGGAAAGGAGAGGCAGGTAGAGGGGGAGCCTGTGGAGGGGGTATCTTGGTTCTGGGAGGGGGCTGAGAAGAAAACTGGGGGCCCCGAGGTGCATGTGAAAGGGGAGCTGGGGGCCATGGAGTGCATGTGGAAGGGGAGCTCAAGCAGGAAGTTAAGGGAGAAGCACTGAGGATGGGGCTGTATTGTTGGAGGAGAACAAGGGGGGCTGTGGGAGTGAGGGTGCAGGGGTCAGGAAGCTGGGGAGGCATGGGGAGCTGTGGGAGGGGAACCTGAGTGGGGTGGGGGGAGTATTAGAGATGGGTCTGTATTGGGAGATGGGAGGGAGAGCTGGGGCCAGAAGGAGGCTGTGGGAAGGGGGGCTAGGCGGGAGCACTGGGAATGGGCTGTATTGGGAGAGGAGAGGTACAGGGCTGGGGGGAGCGGTGGGATGGGGCTGTATTTGGGGAGGCAAACAGGGGCTCGGGGAAGGGATCTGGGAATGGGGCTGTATTGGGAGGGAGTATGGGGGGGCTGAGGGAAGCCCTGGGGATGGGCCTATATTGGGGGACGAGAGGTATGGGGCTTTATTGATTTTGTTCCAGATGTCCTGGCTGATGCTGCTGCCCAAGTATGTGAATGTTTCTACATTGGTGAGAACATAATCCTCTATCCGTACTGGTGATGGTGAGGCAATATTAAAGGTCATGATATCTGTCTTATTGCGGTTGATTTTCAGTCCAATTTGCTGGCTGAATGCAGTCGAGTTGTTTTTTCTTGCATATGGTGTTGGGTATGTGATAGGAGAGCGACATCATCTGCAAAGTCCAGGTCTTCAAGGGATGAGAAGAATGTCCATTTAATGCCTCTTGGCATGTCTTCTGTTGTACGCCTCATTACCCAGTTGATGGCAATGTTGAAGAGGATTGCAGACACGACACACCCCAACATACTCCTGTTTTGACTTCAAAACTGAGCTCACTCTGATCAACACTGCATATAAAGTTGAAATAGAAGCTTTTGATGACGTTGATTATATGGAAAGGAATTCTATATGCCTGCAGAATACGCCATAGGCTGGTCCTGGAATGCTATCAAAAGCCTTCTCAAAGTCAATGAAATGTATGTAGAGTTGCCGTTGCCATTCTAAGCACTGTTCTATTATGATCTGGTCTGTGCATCCACGCCCTTTCCGAAAACCAACTTGCTCTTTTCTGAGAACGCTATCAACTACCTCTGATATACGCTGGACCAGGGATAGGCAACCTATGGCACATGTGCCAAAGGCAGCACGTGAGCTGATTTTCAGTGGCACTCACACTGCCCAGGTCCTGG